CCTACCAACTGAAAATATTAGGTGTGTCCCGCACGCTCATATGACCTTATGCAGTGCGAGCGCCGTAAAAACACGTACCAAAACAAAACAACAGTAGTTGAGAGCGCCGTAAAACTCTACTAAAGCAAAACATAACCTTAAAAAACTGTCATTGATTGTGTTGATATATATTTAGTTGTTATCTCTCTGTGTGTTTTTCTAACCCCCCAGTTACCAGAAGTGTGGATGATTGTGTTGATATATATATTTAGTTGTAATCTCTCTGTGTGTTTATCTACCCACCAGTTACTGGCAGTGCAGGTGGTTGGCGGATGCTCTGGTGTAGTTTGCTCCTTCTTTCCTATCAAACAACTATTCGTTTTTATCTCCCTTCCTTCTTTTTTGTGTTTGTAACACCTCTAATCTTCGGCATTTATATTTCCTTATTGTGTTGCAAGTGCCGTAAAACTCTTACTAAAACTAACTAAAACTATGGATGATTGTGTTGATATATACATATATATATATATTAAGTTGTTATCTCTGTGTGTGTTTTTCTATCCATCACTCACTAGAAGTGTGGATGGTTGTGTTGATTTATATATATTATTATGTTGTAATCTCTCTGTTGCTAGGCCGAAGGGCTAGAACCCAGATGGCCGCTGGATCGGAGAAGTAAGTAAAAGTAAAGTTGTCTCTCTGTGTGTGTTTCTATCCCCCAGTTACTAGAAGTGCGGAACCATCTAGAGAACGCCCGCAATGTTTTCCTCGAGAAGATAACGGAGCAGGCTCGGCAGATCGTCTGGGTCAACCGGATTATCTACTCCCCGGTGAGTGGGCGATTGTGAGACATGCTGACCACATGACTTACTTCTCGCTATCCACAAATGTTGATATTGGCCAAAAATCGACGTTAGGGTCAAATTTGTGGATTTTCTTTTGATGCCATATTCTTTAACTATAACCTGTCTTTTATTATTTTATACCAATAAATTGTAAAACCTTCACCTAAGTGTAAACAGTGAAAATGTGACTTCTTCTTAAGCTCACTCTTTGTTACGAACTGTTTTCACCGTTATTAAAAATGGAGGTACGACAAGAAAGCACTGAGGTCGCGAGATGGTTGGTGGGAGGGGTTCTAGTGTGGTCTGTGACTTTTATTTCTTTTTTTGTGCTACTTGTGTCAGTGTTTGTTTCAAGTGGGTGGTTGATGGGTGCTCTGGTGTGGTTTTCTTCTTCTTTCCTATCAAACATCTTTCGTCTTTATCTCCCCTCCTTCTTTTTTGTGTGTTACTCTCTTGTAACACCTCTAATCTTCGGCACTTATATGACTTTATTGTGTTGCAAGGGCTATAAAACGCTTATTGAAACTAAACTATCTGTTTCATGTGAAATGTGTGTATTCTTTTGTTCACTCTGTTTTTGGCCTAGCAGCATTGTGTACACCTTCGTGGGTGGCTGGCTGGTGCTCTGGTGTAGTTTGCTCCTTCTTTCCTATTATTATCTTTGTCTCTCCTTCTTTTTTATGTTTGTTACTCTCTTGTAGCGCCTCTATTCTTCGGCACTTATATGACCTTCTTGTGTTGCAAGTGTCGTAAAACTCTTACTAAAACTAGCCTAAATTGTGTGTTCCTTCTAGGTTTGTTTTTTGTTGTGTGTAAATGCAGTCTGGGAAAAGGAAGTCGTAAATGCAACATTGTTTTCTTCAAAATAAAAAGATTTTAACCTAGTAAATGAATTAGTGGAGATGTTTTTTGTTTTTCTCTCTCTCTCTCTCTTTCTCTCTCTCTCCCTCCCTCTCTCTCCCTTCCCCTCTCTCTCACTCTCTCTCTCCTTCTCTCTTCCTCTCTCTCCTTCTCTCTTCCTCTCTCTCTCTCTCCCTCTCTCTCCCCCCCTCTCTCTCTCCCTCTCTCTCTCTCTCTCTCTC